TTGGTCGTTGGTCTCCTCGCCTGTCCGCGCCAAAGTCAAATCCTTGTGCTTGTGATCCAGGGTTGAGTGTCAGCCTCTGGGTAACTAACCTGAGTATTTAATAGTAAAAAGGTTGTTACTATGAGTTGACTGAAGTTTTTGAGCGTGGTGAGTGTTAGGTAGTGGGTGATTAATACCAGTCCTGTAAAGAGGAGGTTTCACTCTATCATTATGGTCTTTACTGAGAGGCTTGCTATCAACAGCGCATCCGGATCAATACAAGGTATTAATAGGCATCCAGGGTACTAAGACTCACCTGGGATTGATTTGGTTATTCCCAAAAGGGAATGGGCTAACAATACTTATTAAGCTTTAACAAAATTAGTTGAAGATTAACAGGTATTGTTGATGGGAATATTCAGCAAGGCTATGAATACTGTGGATAAGTTGAGTAAGAGTACTGAAGCTTAAGAACAATAAATGTAGACAAGATTTATGTTGGTTACGTGTACTGTATCAATATAAATGTTAACTGGTTTAACTGGTGTCTGAATATTCTGGGGATTAATCAGTGAAAGAGGCACGGATTATAAGTTCCAGAATACTGAAGGGGGGAAAGAATGAGCGCTCAGAATCAAGGGAGCTTTGGCCAGGAGAATGAGCACATCAATTGAGTGACTGATCATTATTTGTCATGATCTATAAGTGACATCATAATTGTGTACTAGTTGATCAATGTACTAGTTGCTCTTGATGCGTGCACTTGACAGATCCTCTAATAATGTAGTCATAATTGTGATCAGTGCATGTATTGAATGTATTAATTCTATTGACACTTAATACTTACTATTTAATACATGTACATATTTATTTGTAATAATATTTGACCGTGAAAATACTGTAGCAGAGGGATAACTTGTGGTACAGGTATTTCACGGACAAAGGAGTGAAAGGTAAGTGATAATTACTTATGTATAACACAGGTATGTATTTAATAGATAAGTAATTAACAGATAAGATAACAGTAAGATAAATAAGATAAGTTAATAATAAAGATAAGATAACAAGAGGTAAAGGTAATCAACATTATGGATAAGTACTTATGTACATAAGTACAGGTGTTGCAGTTACTTGGTACATGAAAGGTACTGTGACATGTACTCTGTGGCTGACATTGAGTGTAAGTCTTGATGATATTGATGATACGTTGTTGATCTTCTGAAGGTTGTTGGCCACTGTTGGGACACCAGATGTGAGAACTCCTTTGGGATGGGTTGGCAGTCCTTGAGGGGGAAATAACAATAATGATATTTCACTAGATAATATTTACTGTTACGGGTGGTTTGAAAGACCTGCCCCTCTATTTACTACACAAGAATTCTGACAACAATTTAATTTATTGTTGTGGCGTGACTTTATGATGGAGAAAGCTTATATGTAGTAGTCTCTATCAGACCTAGATCAGTATATAATTCAATACAAGATGGCTGTACAACCTTTACACGGTGAGTATGGGTGTGAAAAAAATCCAAGTGGAATATTTTTATAGGGTTTTATGGTTTTTACGGTGATTCTGGATAAGTAGTGAAACTGTTGGTTGTTGTTGATGATGTTGGTGTTGGTGTTGGTGTTGGTGTTTTTGCTGTTGCTGTTGTTGACTAGTCTTGAATGTTGATGACCACTGAGCTGGTTGTGAGGGATGAACCGGCTGGGTGATGATGGTGTTGACCACTGAGCTAGTTGGGTATGAACTGGCTGGGTGATGATGGGGGGAATTGGTGAAGGAGAGGCCTCCTTATATATTCTTTTCTGAGTTATTCTTGCTGGTGGTGATGCAGTTGAGGTGATTTTGCTGGTGGTGACCTGGTGGGTTGCACTGCCTCCTGCAAAGAGTACATGCATTGAGCTAATTATGCTGTGTAAATAACTAAATATGGTACTACTGTATGTAAGGATTGCATAACTGCTTGGACTGCCTGGTGGAGGTTTTTCTGTCCACATGCATTTATGCAAAGTCTGCGTAAATTCAATTAACTAACTAAGTGGAGGCCTAATGGTTGCATGTATGCATGCAAGAGTTGCATAACTGCTCTGCACTACTGGTGGAGGCCTGATGATTTAATAATCTATGTGTATGTACTTATATATATGTGGTAAACTACTATCAAATACTCATTGCTGACTAGTTATGGTATGGCTTTAACCTTTATATTGGATTATCTTCTAAGCTAATAGAGATAGAGGTATAGTTGTAGTGAGTGACTTTGGGCAACATTGTATGTAGATTCTGATTATGCAATAATATATTCATATATGTAAGTGGTTTAGGTTATAAGTTAGGGGTTTTGGCAGTTTTGTTGCGCACAACAGCCTGGACCACCACAGCGGAGGGGTTCTGGGTTGTTCAAGCAGGCATGGTGTCAATTTGATTGCTTGTTGAGAAAGTTGCTTGAGCGACTAAGAGGAGTCTTGAGCAATTTCGAGTGTTGAGATAAGGTTGGAGTTGCAAGCAGGGTGAGCGGAAAATCCAAAGTTCACAGCTGACAAGCCAGTGACACTTTTTGAGTGAGAAGATTTTGGTTTTGATTCACTGGAGGAAAAAGCAACTACAGTAATCTAGCGTGAGCTAAATACAAGATTACTTAGGTTTTGATTGAAGCATATAACATATGATCTATATGCATATGTGTAACCCAACAGCAAAACCATCCCAGTTGACTCGACCAAGATCACAATCAACTCAACCAAAACTAAAACTTACAAGAAATTCAACTAGGCCAAGACTTGATGAATCAAAACCCAAAAGAACTAGCCGTGTCAACCCTTATCGTCATGAAACTCCAGGTCAACGTGCTCTTCGGGAAAAAAACAAAGCTCGACTAGAGAGATCTTACCAAAGAATTGAAGCGTTACATCAAGGTGAACTACCTATGCCTTCATCGTCTTGTGCGTTGGAAGCCCACCTTCAATCTCAACAAGACTCAGGACAGGAAGAAGCAAGACAAGGAATTGAAGGATCTAACCAGCTGACCAGCTTGCATTTGTGGGATAACTTTGCTGAAGAAGACTCTGCCAATTGGGAAACCCTAGAAGAAACACCTTGCCCTGTTTCATCTCTATCACAAAGAATTTCTTGATTTCAACTCCCAAAATAAAATTCAAGCTCTGAGAAGGAACTGGGATTGTATCATACCACAACTTCACGGGGTTTATATGTGGCTCAAGTTCAAGACAGAAAATTGGACGGACAGCAACTCTTTCGACTTGTTTGAAGGAAAAATCTGCAATTGTACCCAATTTAAATACCGTACAGTAGATTTTGTGTATTTGATGTGTATGTAGAACCCATCCCACTGCAATTTAAATTTAATTTGCCTAATCAGAACAATATGTGGGTAAATTCAGCACAGAAACGAATAAGACAACAATTTTGCAATTGTCTACCCAATGCAGTCCAATTACTCACCCTGGGATACATAGGCAGCTCACCTGTCCGGCCAAGGACTGCAATATCTGTTCGGCTTCTCCAGTTTCACGGCTTAGCATGGCAGTGGTGTCACGTGGCAACCCAACCCTTCACTGAGGTTGTAGCACGATGGGTTGAAGTACATTCAACAAAGTTATGGAATGAAAACCACACTAAGGTCAGATCACAATCCACATAATTCATTAGCAAGTTTCTGACAAATATCCTATCTTGTCCTACTGATATTAGCGACGAGATATAAGAAAGGGTTTTTGTGCGGCAGTGGACATATTCCGTCTGATGTTGCAGAAGACAACTGAACTGGTCAACACCTCTCTTCAGCTAACCAAAACCCAGAGGCTTGCAAAATTTTGTTGTCCTGGGTGCTTCGGAACAAGTATTTTGAATACTCTCATATTCCTCAACCATCAGTGAAAGATTCACTCATTGTGTGCTTGGATGGGAATTTTCAACACAGACAACATGCAAAAGCTGGTGTGAAAGGGGGGAAATTAGTCAACCCCCCAATCTTCTTGAAACCTGAAGCAGTGGAGAACATGCGGTCTGAGATAGAGAATCTTGGGAGGCCCGAAGTAGTAAGTAGCTATTTTATTTTCAGCATACATTTTGGCTACAATTAATCATATAAGTCTGGACCAGTTGGATCCTTGTTCTGATTCACACAAAGCTGCAAATGACAAACGAAGTGAATCAACTTGGAAAGGATGTGATGATACTGGTCTGATGGGATGTTGTTGCCAAAATGACCAGGTAGTCTACCTGGAAAATATCCACCGTACCGGTGAACAGAGATCCCTCCCTGTGGCCATCCTGAAACAGCTGTTGGAAGAAGTTGACGGAAGACCCCTGGGGGTCCTTTATGATATTGGTTGTTCATTGCACAAATTCCTCAACATTGCAAGTTTGACAATGACTCATTACATTAATGCTTGTTATCACATAAAAGCTAATAAACATACATTTTTAATACTCAGCGGGACTTCTTTGCATTTCCAGAAAAAAAGGAACTAATCAAATTTGGGACGTCTGTTTTTCATGCTTATGTACATGAATGGAAGTGCCAAGTCGCTTACAACCCGCGGTTCAATGTTGGCTGGGAATTATCAGATGGGGAAGGGCTAGAACGGCTCTGGTCATCTCTATCCCCTCTGATAAGAACATTGCGCTACTCATCCCAAAACCATCGCTTGGCCGCCCTATCCCACCAGTGTCAGTTTCTCAACACAGAGGGAAAATCTACATTAAGTATGCTTAAACACAGATTATTTACTGGAGACATGTCTGTTGAATTTTTTGTTTTGATTCACAAGTGCTGTGGCTGCAAAAGAAATTATGTGCGGCACAGCTGGCAAGGAGAGAAGCAAAAGAAAAACTCAAACGCTTGTTACTTCTATCGAACCCGTTTTCTAATGGTGGCCGCACCAACTACACCAAGCAATTCTTCATAAGTCAGTGGGAAAATCAGGTCAACCACCTGAAGCAAGTATCTGACAAGGACACTGAGCAGTGGAATAAGCTCACAAAGCTCATAAAAATGGAGAATTCATTGAAGAAACTCCGGTAAGTCAAACACAAATCAACACGCCAGCAGCAATCTCACTGACCCCTGCCAACAGCAATCTCACTGACCCCTGGAAGTGATTTCCGGTGACATGGTTGCCAAAAGAAACTGGGATAATTGTACTGAGATCTTGGAGCGATTTGTAGATGAAATTGAACAAGCAGAAGCATCTCAGGTGGAACTGGCCGGGCAGTTGGGGTTTATGTATACTGGTGCTGGTACTGATTGTAAGTTTTCATGTTCACTTCATCATTGCAATTTGTCACTTGACAGGCTCCCTCTTTTTTCTTCAGTCGAAAAGGAGAAGATGAAACTCCTTGTTTGGAGTAAAAAACAAGAGCTGTACACAAAGGCAGTTGAGATTATGAGTGTCCGTCAGCCCATCTCAGAGTCACGCAACCGAGCAAGAAATGTTGGCACAACATTAAAAGAGAAGATATATGAATCAATCAATGGCCAAAAGGGAGCCGTTCTAAGATTAATCAACCAATTTAACAAGGTCAACAAAGCTTATTTAGAGAAGTACGACCAAGAAGCATTGAACGATCCCAAATACCAAGCTCTGTCATGGGACTTGTTTGCAAGTAAGAAGCTTGAAGATATCTTCTGGAACGAGGCACATTTCTATCACTCGCAGGCGCCTTGGGCTGTGTCGTTGGATGTACGCAAAGGGATCAGGCCGTTTCTCATGGTGGATTGAGCAGAGGAAGAACTTGACCTCATTGCAAAAGAACTCGGTCGAGCAATGACATGGGCAGTTGAGTTGCACAACATGTTTGACCAGCTTGCAGGACAAATAATTAGTGAGTTCTTCTCTTCTCTTTTGTTTTTTTTGTCACTTCAACTGAATCCATCCTCATTTCTATTCCAGAGGATCTTTCCCCAAACACCACTGAAGTAGTGATCCCAGCTCGTGTGGGGACTTTAAGTGTACAAACCGGGCAGTAAGTGCTGATGTTCAAGCTGTACCTCCAGTTGGCAGATCATGTAAAGCTGATGCGCTTGTGGGCTCCGGATGCCGATTGGCTATGGGGCAAGACCCACCTGCCTGGTAGCTCACACCGGTGGTTTGAGTTGGTGAGCAGTCTGGGCACCAATCTGGATGCATCAGACATTATTGTTGAGGACCTAGAGCCTACTATCAATGAGATCAAAGAGCAGCTCCAGGAGGAAGTGTTTATAGATGACGCCAACAACGGCGAGCTGGCTGGTGATGAAGAGGTACAAGAAATGGTCGGAGATGCAAACCCAGACCAACCAAACAATTAGAAGCTCTTTCATTGTGTTGCGTAGATCCAAGCCATGTATATCTTCTCTTTGTTCTCAAGAATAAGCCTATCTTTTCTATCTCAAATCACCTCTTGTATCATCTACATCTTTTTGCATAAGGATCACATTATGTATCTCCTGACTTGTTACCCAATCTTTAAGTATAACCTTTATTCCGATGAAAGAGAAACAAACAATTCCAAGGAAAGAGTAAAAAAAAATTCCGATGAAAGAAAAACAAACAATTCAAACACACAAATATGGAGAAATTTTGGTTATACAAAAAGAGTCAGCATAAATGAAATCCGAAAAAAGTC